GTGTGTGCTGATTGGGTGTTTGTGTGTTTGGGGGGGTAATCTTGCGTGCTGATTGGCTGTTTGCAGCAGAGGTGCGTCCTGTGCTGATTGGCTGTGTGTGCAGCGGAGAGCATGCACTCTGATTGGCTGTCTGTGTGTGGGGTGACCCTGTCTGCTGATTGGCTGTGTGAAGGGAGTGGGCGGGGGCTGAATGTGCGTGCTGATTGGCTGGCTGGGGGTGGGCTGGCCCTGTGTGCTGATTAGCTGGGTGCGGAGTAGCCCTGTGTGGTGATTGGCTGTTGTGCAGGACTGCTGGGTGCTGATTGGCCAGTCCAGAGGGGGCGGGGCTAAGCTGTGTTGTTTCTTGTCCCCATGTGTTTGCAAGCGTGCATGCTGATTGGCCAGGCGTCCGCCCTCTCCCCGCCCCCATTCCAATTGGCCACACCCCTGCTGATTAGCCCAGCCCCCTTGCTCCTCATTGGCCACCAACCCTCCTCTCCCAATTGGCTGTGCGTCCCCACCCACCCATGGGCCAGGCCGCTCGCGGCCAATGGGAGCCGCCGGCCTGTGGGTGGGCGGAGCCTGTTGCCGCCCCGCAGAGGGGAAACTGAGGCAGCTCCCCCGTCCATCCAGCATGGAGATCGACCAGAAGCTGCAGGAGATCATGAAGCAGACGGGCTACCTGACCGTGGGCGGCCAGGTGAGCGCGGCGGCGTGTCCCCCGGGTCCCCAAATGTCCCCCAATGTCCCCCAATATCCCCCTCACCCCCCCGCTGCCCCCCAGCGCTACCAGGCGGAGATCAACGACCTGGAGAACCTGGGCGAGATCGGCAGCGGCACGTGCGGCCAGGTGTGGAAGATGCGCTTCCGCAAGAGCGGCCACGTCATCGCCGTCAAGGTGGGCGCCCCGCGGGGTCGCCCGCGCCCCCCGCCGCGCGGGGCCCCTGCCCGCAGGGGCCCCCCCGGCCACCCCGGCGCCTCTTCCGTGCAGCAAATGCGGCGCTCGGGGAACAAGGAGGAGAACAAGCGCATCCTCATGGACCTCGACGTGGTGCTCAAGAGCCACGACTGCCCCTACATCGTGCAGTGCTTCGGCACCTTCATCACCAACGTGAGCSGCGCCCGTGTCCGGCATCCGCATCCCGCCCGGCCCCTCTCCCGGGATCCCCATCCCGGATCCCCCTCGGCCCKTCTCTTGGGATCTGGATACCGCTTGGCCCCTCGCCTGGGATCGGGTGCCTGGATCCCGCTCGGCCCCTCTCTTGGGATTTGGATCCCACTCGGCCCCTCTCCTGGGATCAGGCTCCAGGATCCTGCTCGGCCCCTCTCTTGGGATTTGGATCCCGCCCGGCCCCTCTCCTGGGATCCGGATCCCAGATCCCGCCCGGCCCCTCT